TTTTTTTTAGTGGTCTGTAGCCCGCCTTGTGTTTTGCTCTTTTCTTTGATCCTGTAAGATGCTAAAAATATTTTTTTTTCTCTTTTCAGTCAAGAGAACTCCATTGAATTCCATCTATTCTCCTGGAGATTAATGGCTGGTCTCAAGAGACTGTTTTCAGGACTTAACTCATGGTAAGCATATTGTGTATGTTTTGCTACAATTACATGAAATATAAGCTTTTAATGAGAGCTGTTAATACTTTTATTTTTCTTTCAGGCCTTTTTATTAAACAGATAGTTTTGTCAAATCTCCAGAATGAGTTTGCAGCACAGGTAAGCTCATAACTCCATACTTGTATCTTGAACAGTATTTTAATTTGTATTTCTTATGTAATGCTTTAATTTATTTTTAGATGCCAGCACAGCAGTTGCTTACCTGACCCCCCTTTGTTTTCAACTAAATCAAGATTGGTGAAGCATCTCAAAGATTACCATATCATTGGGAGGAAGGAATCAATACTGTGTCCTGAAGATGGATGTGAAGCTAAGCCTTTTGATTCCACAACTGCTTTTAGTCAACATCTGAGCAAAAGGCATTCATCATGGAGATCTACAGATATGGATGTGGATCTACAGCATATAGCAGCAGCCGGCAGTGTTCGTGAACCTGAGGAATCTCACACTTAAACTGATACGTCAACTGATCAACAGACTTCAGCTAATATTTCTGTTGACCAACAAACTTCTACCAACAATAATGTTCATGACATAGCTGCATTCTATCTCAAGCTTGAATCTGTGAATTTGGTTCCAGCGTGAACCGTTCAGGACATTGCTGATGGTGTTCAACGTCTGAACAAATTATCCCATGAAGCAATTTGTAAAGTCCTTACTGAAGAGATGAAGGACAAGATACCTGACATATCCATAGATTCTATTCTATTAAGAGTTAAACTCAATGACCCTGTTCTCAGTGCTCATCACAAAGCGATATCTGGACCCAAATTAACAACAGAGTACTTACGTAAGGAGTATTATAGAAAGTATTTTCACTTTCAAGAGCCTGTTGAGTATGTCATTGGTCCAGACCCCATGCTGAGAGACCACACATTAGCCTACGTTGCTATAAGAAGAAATTTGGAGAATATGTTGGAGGATCCAACCATTCAAAAGCAGGTTGATGCTTCATTCTTGGAAGAGATTCCAGAAACAAGATCACACAAGACGGTTATTAAGAACTACACTGATGGCTCAATTTACATTAAAAGAGCAAAACTATATGGCCGTAAACGATTTTGCCTGGTCTTATTTGTGGATGCCTTCAACCCGGCCAAATCCAGCTCAAGAAATGACCAAAGATACAAAACTGTTGGTATGTACATGTCTCTGTTAAATTTGACTCCTGCCAGCCGATCCAAGCTGTCCAGTGTCAAACTTGTTATGCTGGTGCTGAATAAGGTCTTGAATGACCACAGAAAAGAATGCTTTTCTTTTGTTATAAATGAACTGAAAACTCTTCTTAGTGATGGTATTGTCTATAAAAATGAGAAAATTCCTGTAACACTTGAAAAGATTGCCGGGGACAATTTAGGGCAACATATGCTAGCTGGCTTCCTGGAGAGCTTCCACCCAAATATTGAATTTGCTTGCCGCTATTGTGAAATTAAGAACAAAACTTATCTGGAGAAACCATGGGTGATTGGTGATAGAAGAACATCAGAATCATATGACAAATGTGTGATAGAGCTACAACAGCTGAAAGAGACTTTAACTGTTACTGGTAAACTTAACCCGGATAAGGTTTATAGTGTTAAGGGAATTAAATACAACAGTGAGTTCAATGAAGTGCCTCTCTTCCACGTATGTGACCCACATCTTTCACCTTGTGTTGGCCATGACGGATTTGGTGGCACATGGGAAGCTGATATGGCCATGATGATTTCGTACTTTGTGAACAGCAAGGAATGGATGACCTACGATTTGCTGAATAGTAGAATAAAGGACTTTCAGTTTCTTGGCTCTGATGGTACAAATGTACCTGCTGCTGTCAAGATATCAAGTGAGAAGTTGGGAGGGCATGAAGTTCAAAATTGGACCCTTATTAGACTGTTTGTACTTATTGTTGGGGATCTAGTGGTAACTAGTGATCCAGTATGGCAACTTTATCTTAAACTGAAATGTCTGATAGAGTATGTGTGTGCTCCTCAGCTGACCCTAGAACAAATTAACCACATGAAGTATCTATCAGTGGATTACCTGATAGCAAGATGTGAAGAAAATTCAACAATAAAAATGCATACTACAATCAAAACCCACTATACAGCACACTTTGCAGACTTGTACGAGTTAGAAGGACCTCTTTGCCAGGCATGGACCCTACGCTTTGAAAGCAAGCATGCTGTTTTGGGAAGAGAGCTAGAAATGAGTCGAACTCATGTGAATGTCATTTCAACAATGGCCAAGAAAGATCAGCTGTTAACTAGCTATCTTGTAACTCAAGATATGTTTCCAGAAAGTCCTTATGACCAAAAGAAAGCTTGTCGTGTAGTGAAGGATAAATATCCTGTCCATTATCAAACAATTCTTCAAGGAAGGGTGTTTACGGAGGATGCTCAAGACGTTCAAACTGTGACTGTTGACAACCAAGAGTTTAGACGAGGAAACCATCTTCTCCTATCCAAGAAAGAAGATACCATCACTGTAGCAAAGATACAGTATATTATTTGTGATCAAGTAGACACATTTCTTCTTGTAGAAAAGTATGAATCTACACTTCTTAAAGACTATGGCATTTATGAATTGAAATCTGATCAACACGCTCTTTCGTCAGAAATTTTACGTTATTCATCATCTGCAGATTGTGTACTACAACCTGTCTATGAGTTTGAAGAAAAGCAGTGTAAGTATGCCATGCTTGAGAGTTAAGTTTATCAGCGAAGATCATGCTAATTTTTCTGCTATTTTGTTAAATAGCAGATAACAGTATCATTGTCTAAGTATTTCCAATGATTTAGTCCAACAGTTACACATTTATTGCCTTATTCTTGTAATTACAAAGTTAAATGATGACATTTTGTCTTCTTGTCCTACTATTCAAATAATGTTTGTGGATCTCTTATATGTAGCATTATTTTTTGTAGTAAGTTTGTGTGTCTCCTGTTATGTGCCCTTGTGAAAACGAACAGCTCCGAAAGACATCCGAAGCGGACTTGCTCCGTTTTTACTCCGACTAATGTGTTTCGGACTGTTTCGGATGGCTCCGTTTATGTTATGAAACGTTTGAAATTCGGATGTTAAACGGAGCAGTCCGACTTCAGTCCGAATCGGACAGTCCGATTGGCGCCCGAGACCTCCCGTCGGACTGTCCGATTGACGCCCGGTACCTCTTGTCGGACTGTCCGATTGGCGCCCGGTCAGAGGGGAGGTCCCCCTAAAAATTATGGGGTGCACATCTGTGTTACAATGCTGGGGAGACACACTGCGCTGCTTGTATCGGCTGGGGCTGGGACTCGTTCCTTGGATCCTCGGATTCTTTTGGTGTGAAGTCGACGCCTTAGACCGCTGAGCTAACCTGAAACATGAGGGAGGGCTGGTCCGACAAGCCTCTTTACTCGAGACTCAGTCGACGCAGTCCTTGCGCTCCTACAGACGAACGATTCCACGTAGAATGACGCGGTTTTCGACCGTCGGCTGATGGCGTTACTTCACATACATTTAGGGTCATTTCGTTGTGCTCACTAGTGCATTATTTCTCCTATTCTAATTTATTGCAAACACACACCGTGCCGTTCTACCTTCATGAATCTTTTTTCCCGGGCGGCCCCGTATGTCTTAAATGTTCTGTTTAATTACCATTTTTAGCGGCGGCCGATAGAAATTACCAAATCTAAGACGACCTCAAATTATTTGAGACAAAAAACAAAAGTTTCCCTATTTTGCTTAAATTTGTGCCATGGACTTGAAAATGCCTAAAAGGCCATATCAAATGTATGATAAAGAATGGCACGTGAGCACGTAAAGTATTTAGCACTTCAAAGCTCAAGTTTATACTTAATTCACTCTATTTCTGTGATAAATATTCTTGAACAGTGAGCCTCGGCCGGCAGCACGCCCAGTCATAAGGGTGCTGACATGTATCGGGCTAAAATCGGACTAGTCCGAATCGCGTGAGGGACGCCCTGTCGAGCTTTACCCGGACAAGTCCGACGCATCGGGCGGAAATCGGACAGTCCGACGGGAGCTCTCGGGCGCCAATCGGACTGTCGGAGTTTGTCGGGCAAAAATCGGACAGTCCGGGTCTGTCGGGTAAAAACGGAGCAGTCCGACTCGGGCGACTCGGGCTTTCAGCCCGACCGAGTCGGGCTCCGGATCTTTTCTGGAGCAAGTCCGACAGCGATCGGACTGATTTCGGAACAAGTCCGAGGCCTCAGAGGGTCTCGGACTCTTTACGGTACCATTTTCGGATGAGTTCGTTTTCACAAGGGTGTTTGTCTTACTTTGTTGCAGTTACCTAATGTGGTAAAAACTTAAGACATCACATCCTAAATTTATTCTTGATTTTGTACAAATGACTAATATTCCTGCTTTCAGGTAATGGTTTCCTGAGACAGACAGATATCCTTCAGTTATCTGTTGGCAGATAGCAATTTTCACCATTTGTTTGTTATTTTTTTTCCTTTAAATGGAGGGAGATGAGGCTGTAAACAGTGTGATACCCTAAATTCTGAAGCCTAATGTAAGAGCTACATGGTATAGTATAATGTAAAATTTTCTACCAGTTAGCTTCAAATAGAGATAGTTTTGAATTGTTATGAGTGTAATGAGTAATGGTACTTGATGCTGAAAACTCTTCATTGACATTTATGAATAACAGGATCATGGGACCATATGTTTAAGGTTGTACTTTTTTTTTGTAAGAGCTTTGACACATAGCTGTAGCATTGTAATGTTGTTACATGAACCGAGTAGATTTGTGTACTCGTACCTTTATTTTGTGCATGGTTCATCGCATTATGGTAAGGTTTTATTAAATGGCTTTAAATTGTTGTTTTATCAGACTGAATGGGAATGTGTTATTTGTTTGGACAAAACCTATATACATCCAAGAGAAATAAATAAGTTAAAAATGTGCACTTGAATTAATTGCTTTTATTGCACATTGCGAGGCCTAAATTTTCATTCATTTTTATCTCACATCTTTTCCACCGGCTGCCTGCTACAAAGATTCTATATTTTTATATCATGACCAAACGATCTATGTGACTAGAGTTAAAACAGTTGCTATCAACATTGATCTACTCAAAAAAGGGAGAATAGTAAGGCTGAGTAATGTGCTAGACAGTGATGTTTTTCTATAAGGGATCTTACAATATTGTTATTTGCTGTAGGTTTATAACTTTGATCTTGATAAAAATTCTTAAATGTTCTTCTAAGAACCAAGACTTCACTGTTCAATACGAAACCCATTAATTTTACACCTTCCTCTTTAAAAAGTATGATTTGTTTTCGTTGTAAATAAAAACTTGCAGAAAATAACAAAACCTCCTCCTTTCTTGTCCACAAAAAGTCAGAACAAGTTAAAATCTTAAAATAAAAAGCTCTTTATAACACAAAGGGGAAACAAAAATACACTCTATAAAAACAAAAGTTAAAGCATAAATCTTTTTGTGCTTGTACGGATAATCCATCTAGGGAATTTGATGATGATAAAGAAACAATCACTTAAGTGGTCCCTAAAGGCTTGCTTTGGCAACACTAACTTCATTTAAATGTGTAAGCTTAAAATTTGCTATGTCTTAAAATAAACCAACATTTTAAAAGTAAAACATCTTTGTATCACAGTAATCAAAATGTACACAAAACAAGCTAAAACAGAGCTCTGATAGACCACTAAATTAAGATAAATTCAAGATGTCATCATGTGAGAAAATAGTAACAAATTTTAAAAATAGAATCCTTTACATTTGAGACAGAGAAATATATATGAGGTTTATCAATACTGTTCTTAATATTTGAAATTAGGAGTCTTCTTCCTCTTCAAGACTTTCCTCATCAACTTCCTCATCAAATTCCTCATCAACTGCTGCCTCGTCAACTGATGCTTTTGCTGCTTCTATCATCTTGTGGTACTCTTTGCAATCTGTTTCAAGGTGGACTAGTTTCGCTGGAATGGGAGCTGCCGCATTTGCCTCTGCTCTCTTTGAGCCCACATCTGTATTCACATTCAGAATCTCTCTGCAATGAAACAAATTGTAGCGGCATGTATGAAATAAAAGGTAAATAAATAAATATAAAAATAACAGATCACAAAAAATAGTTACCTCTGAATGAACTCACAAACTACTCCAAAATTTCTTGGAAAGTCCAAGTGGAACACAAAGAACGCTGAGTACGCTGCTATAAAAGCATCCTTGAACGATGGCGTTGAGAGGAAGCAGAATTTGTCCATAGCAACATAGAATTTTTTGCTCCAAACGTGTTTTGACCTGAGGTATTTTTTTTTCACGTAAACTAGGCATTCAAACTACATAAGGCTATTTAAAACAATACAAGGTAAAGAACATATTCTTACCACAAGCGATGATGCAAGGTGTGTTTGGCAAATGAGGAAGCTTTCCCACATCCTCTAATTTAGTTGTTCTCTGAAAACAAACGAAAATAAAATTATTACCTTTTGAGAGACAAATGTAGCTGTTTCATTTTCAGAATAATTAAAAATTAGGCTGACCTCTACATTTAAAATGAAAGCTTTGATGGACTCTTTAAATCCTTCGGCTAAAAGTGTCATTAGTCCAAGCAACTTAATATAAACTGAATCATTGCCCTTTTCAATGGCTTTCTCAATAAATACTTCAATCTGTTTACCAAGATTAGCCTGATTTGCTATCAAATATTCAAACATTCTTTTGGAGTTATAAGTAAAATATAATTGAAAACATTCGCCAAAGTTGATGTTGTAGAGCTTGTTGAAATGAAAGACGAGCCCAGCTGTTCGGAATAAATATGGCCAATCATTAACAAGATCAGTCATTTCTGGCTCGGCTTCTTCTGAACGCTTCCTTTTTCTCTTGTTTTGGAAATCCTTGATTGTTTTGTACTGTTTTAACACAGCTTGTCTTTGAGTGTGATAAGTGCTCTCCAAGCATTGGCGAATTCTTTCAGGATCCTTCTCTTTCTTTCTTCTGGCATATTCAAGCAATTCTGATCTCATCTCCTCCTGGCTTTCTTCAGTTTCGCCAGGTGGCAACTCAGTATTATGCCAATTTTCTTTTGATAGGCCTATTACAGCCTTTACAGGCATAATTACTATGGGGCTTGGATCGCCTTGTTTTTTCTCTGGCGACAGGGGCGAATTTCAGCATTGTCGAATTGGTCCTTAGCATGGTCCAGGAACCTCTTGTACCCAAGACTAGTTTCTCCCACTTTGTCCACAAATGACGAAGGATATTGAGCGACCACTTCCTTCACCATGTTCTCCATTATATTTCTCTTGGCTAAGGGGAACGCTGTCTTAGCAACAGCCACCATTGCATTGATTAGTAGAAGTTCAGCTGATTTTAATGGCCTTCTTTTCTCCTTGATAAGAGCAGCTGCAAGTTCCCCTTTATTTTCTTTGGCCACTTTATCCTCGTGCCAAATGATATTCCATGGTATGGGCACCACAAGGTCGCTGGAATTAGAAGAGCTGCTTTTGGGCTCTTGATCTGTGAACAAAATTAACAACACATGAGACTTTAGTTTAGAAAGGGTTAAAATTAGGAAAAAAGGCTACTACAATGCTCAGTTCTTACTTGACTCAAGGTGGGCACCAGTTTTCCAACAGCCAACCAATCTTAATGCCTGAAATTCATTCAGGCCTTCAGCCTCAAGATGGTGCACTTGTACAAGTTTCAGATCATCTTCTGTGGTAAGCCTCCTATCTGTTAACGATTTTTGAATAGCAGATGCAAAAGTCTCTGCCTGGTCCCTCTCAATTTCTGGACAGAGAGTCAGCAGTGACTTCAGTATAATTGCAGCCATCTTTACCTGGAAGATTATGTTATGATTATTACTAGCTTAATTGAACACTGCAATTTATAAAGGGAAACAGTCCGGAGCAAAGTCCTCGATATAACAGTGACTGTGTCTTGTAAAGTGGCAGTTGGTTTAACTGAAGAACATGATTGCACACCAGAAATTTATTTTATGGGATTTATCGTTTTTATGAAATTACATTGTTTCAAAATTATTTAGAAGAGGATAAAATTGTTGATATAAGTAATTAGTAAGGCTATGATAAGGCCACAAGACTCATTTCGAATTTCGAATCACTTACCAGCTTCCCACCTCACCTCAACTTCTGAAGTCTTTCGGGTCTGGAAATTTGAAATCTGCGCAGTGCAGTGCGTATCGCCTGGATGTCAACTGTTTTCATGACAGCCAACTTTGAATGTGTTCAGTAGGGACATTAGTTTAAAAATATTTTCTGTCTCCTCATTTGAATGTTACTTGTTGATGCTACAAAACTTCGGTATATTTCGAATTAAAATTAATTTTTTTGTATATTTTTACAATGTTAATCTCGTTTCCTTTTTTTGTCTGGATCAAATCAGGTTGGTGGTACTGGTAGGAAAATTTTGTCTGCCAATGGTTTTGATCAAAAATGGAGAATATTGTTCCTCAAGATTGTTCTCTTTAGTTCAAATTTAATGGAAAAAAACTCTGATATTTCATAGAATGAATTATATATTGTGGCTTAAATCTCTTTGTAACGTGGCCCTTTTTATTACTTTAAAGTTTCAATACTAGATTTTTACCTAAGGAAACCCAACATGTTCAGTTCAAGTTCAATAAGGACTGGTTAGGAACTTAAGTTTTTAAGAAAAAGGAAACAATTCACCCAATTTGTTTTCTGTCATACACCTGTCTGGTGTTAAGAGGTTTCAGGAGTGATAACCTCCACTGAAATTACTGTGTTTCGAAAGGGAAACGTCCGGAGGTCCCCCCTCCGGGAGGTCCCCCCCTGAATATTTTATTATTTTTTAATAATATTTTT